ATTTTTATACCAGCATAAGCATAACATTAATGTAATAAAAGAAATACAGTATCTTACACATAAAGCTTCGGAATATTACATAATTTACTAAAGATTCAAATATAGACGGAACATTTGCACAGATAATATATTATAAACATAATTTGTTGAAATATTTAACGTATGTCCGGAGGTATTCGCACTTTTCTCTTTCTTTTTGTATTTAAAGTTTTTATATGCTTTCTTCTACATGTTCACGAATATTAAAAGATAATACTGCATAAAAAATTAATATTTTTATGTTGAATTGAAAAATACATAATCAGTAGTTTCTTTCTTTAAATATTAAGTGACGTAGACAGATCTGTTTTAAGCTGCAGAATGCGATTTTATAAAATTTACATAAATATTTCGAACAAGTACTAATTATCTGAGTTTTGTTATATATATACTGTACGTCACTCGAAGATTCGTCACTAGAGAAAAATTTTGTTGTATTCACGAAATCGGTTTAGTTTTTATAAATGTAGTTACACAGTATTTGATTTTAAAGTATAATATGAATGATATCATGTTTTAAAAGTAATATCTATGATTATGTATATATAATTTTATAAATTTTAACAATTTTGTTGTTATAAATTTATAAATATATATGTATTTAAATTTTCAAATCTTTAATTTAAATATTATATTAAATATTTAATTATATATTAAATATTTATATTATATTATATTAAATATTTAAATTTTCAAAATTTACATTCTGTTAGAAAATCCACAGGCTTTCTATAACATTTAATCAACCAATAGTTGTTTTCAATATGAAATTCCCAAGATTGTTTATATCGTGGATCTATTAAGTGCTTCTTTTTTTCATGTTTGTTTAAGTGCTGTTTCATTTTATTAATGTGTACAGTAAGTTCTCTTTTTGTATCATTTGTACAAAGCTTACATGTAACAGAAAAATCTGTACTTTTTTTCAAATATTTCCAACCCCATTTTTCATTTTTATGGCATACTAGATTTTGTTCTAGTTTTGAATGCTTTTTTACGTGTTCCGATCAGTTTTCATTTTGTGAAAATTGAATTGGGGTTTTACATATATCACATATAATACAAACTTTCTTTTTTTCTGTTGTTAGTCTAAAATATTTATATTTTAGTTAGTCTAAAATATTTATATTTTAGTCAAAAAGTATTTACGCGAGCATTGTAAAAAGGAACTAAAGGAATATACATTTCGTACGTGGATTTGGAGAAATACTGTCTTTTTGTGCACAAGAAAACAATACATCTATGCCCAACTACACATATATAATCCTTCACTTCATTCGTAACACAGTCGTTAGAGATTTGCTAAGGGTTCTGACGTCTACTTTTTTCACGATAATACTGCATAAAAAAATAATATTTTTATGTTGAATTGCAAAATATATAATCATTAGTTTCTTTCTCCAAATATAGGGTGAGACGTAGACGTATCTGTTTTAAGCTGCAGATTGCGATTCGATAAAGTTTACACAAACATTTTTAACGCATATTTCGAACAAGTACTAATTATCTGATTTTTTTATATATGTGCTGAGTACGTCACTCGAAGATTCGTTATTATAAAAGAAGTCTATTATATTCATGAAACCGATTTAGTTTTTTTAAGTGTACAAAGATACAGCACTTGATTTCAAAGCATAATATAAAGAATATTATGTTTTAAATAATAACTATAATTATATATATAATTTTATAAATTTAAACAATTTGGTTAAGTTATAAATTTATAAATATATATATATTTGAATTTACATATCTTATACATTTATAAGCTCAAAACCGATATGCGACAAATAAGTCAAATTATTCGCCAATTTCTTCATGTATTTCAAATCATTTAGGTCAAAGTCAAGACTGCCGTTACTGCTGGTCATGAGATGCTACTTAAAAACGTCGCTACCATCATTTCCATTGTCCAATGTAGATAAATCTATAAACATTTGTAATATATAAAAACATATATTAATTATTTGATTTTTGTTGTTTTTATTATATTTTGATTGATTACACCATTGAAAGAATAAAATATAATGATAAATATTACTAAACGATAATAATTAATAAAATATGATTAAAACTTACGATCGTTTTTCTTTCAACTTGCGTAGCTCGTCGACGGTGTAGCTTAGTCGTGTACTGTTCTTTGTACCAAATCTATTTGACGTATTTTTTCCCGTTCCTCTGGATGTTCAGATGTTATGTGGTTTTCTAAATTTTCCGGGGCCCATTCAAAGTTTACTTCATTTTTACATAAAGTACAATTTGCAACTTTTACATTTTGTCTCGCGTATTTTAGTGCCCAATGAGAAACGAATTTCAGCTCATATGGAAAATGATTTGTGTGAGATGGTCTGGTTTTTTTTAGACATATGATGCATTCTAGAACATTTCTATTTAATATTAAATCATTTATGTACCTTATATGATTCCAGTGAGGTTTGTGTTTGAAGAAATTAAGTGTATTTTTTTTTTCTTCAAGCGAGTGAAGAGCACTATGCTTGTTCTTCATGTGTTCCAAAAATTGTGTATGTGTGATATATGGTATGTTGTGTTTGCAAAATTTACATTGTGCTCGAAAATTTTCAGCATTTATATAACATTTTTCCAACCAGATCCATTGTACAGTCCTTATTATTGTACCCCATAATAGATGTTCTTTGGCTATTTTTTCCATATATTTTTCATGTGTATCTGCATGCTTCTTTAATTGATTAATGTTCGCCCTAACTGTTACATTTTCTTTACAAATCGTACATGTCATATTATCTGCGTTTTGTCTTGCGTATTTAAAAGCCCAATTTTTATTTTGTGGTTCTAGATAATAATTTTGTACATGACTTTCTGCTTCGTGTATATTTGGTTTAATTTCACAACATATCATACATTGTATTATTTTTAATTGTGCATGCGTAAATCTTAAGTATTGCCAGGCTATGTTACCTGCCTTCATTTTACTTTTTTCAATTTTGTAAATTGGTTTATGTTTATCCTTCATATGTTTCTGAACGTTTGTAGAGTCGACATATTCAAGTTCTTTGTTGCAAAATTTACATTCTGTTAGAAAATCCACATGCTTTCTATAACATTTAATCAACCAATAGTTGTTTTCAATTTGAAATTCCCAAGATTGTTTATAAGTGGCTCTTTTCTTCATGTTTTTTCTAGATGTGCCGTTTCATGTCATCAATGTCTACAGTAAATTCTCTTTTTGTATCTGTTAGTTAAGAATAGAGAAGGAACTGAAACAAAGTAATTTAGAATATTAAACTATATGCAATAGGCAGTTTAGGAAGGACAGGAAACAGTTGAAAGTTTAATTCTAAATATTTATTCAAAAGGTTATCTAAAATGTAATATTATAAGTGATAAATAAAATATATATATATATATAAACCAAAGGGCTAAACCAAAAGAAAATAAACTAAAGTAATTTTAGCTGCAAATAAAACTGAATTAAAGGGTTAAATATTTTAATCGACCTTTAACCTTATAAAAGATCTTTACAAACAGAAATAAAAGAAAATGAATTTATTCTGTAAATAAACAAATCTACTCTTAAAGAATAGAGAGAAACTTTTAAATCGAGACAAAGAAGTTGATGTAATCGTGTAACGATTACATCTATACTTTATGTATCAATGAATGTTTGTAGGATCCGTTCTGTAAACTAATTTTTGAAGAACGAGAACAAACCCAGATCCTCAGACGAGCAATTTTGAGAGAAGCGAGAAATCAGCTTTGTAAAAGCACTTTTTTTCTTACTAGAGTTTTCGCTGCGTAGCAGCCCGAGAGATGCTCACACGAGCCTTGCTGCGTAGCAGCCCGAGAGATACTTACGAGAGTCTTGCTGTGTAGCAGCACGAGTGAAGAAAAAGAAAATGGCTTCCGTTTGTCTTTGAATGAAGCCCCTTTTACGAGATACGAGTCGTGCTCGCATGAATCGAACTAGATTTCTTAATCGAGGACTCGTCAATCCGTCAATCCTTGAGATAGAGTATAGAGATACACTTTTTGTTTCGTATCAAAACCACTTAGTTTACTCGTATCGAAAACCACTGACTAATCGTCACGAAAGAAGAAGGCATACTACTGTATCGCCCCCTACCGTGGCGAATGCTAGGTAGGAAAATGCAGGGGCGCATAGTGATAATCTTTGAGTCATGCATTTCAAAGCGTCAACTTTAAACAGTATCATTTGTACAAAGCTTACATGTAGCAGAAAAATCTTTACTTTGTTTCAAATATTTCCAACCCCTTTCTTTCTTTTTTATGGCATCCTAGATCTCGTTCTAGTTTTGAATGCTTTTTTACGTGTTCCGATAAGTTTTCATTTTGTGAAAATTGAATTGGGGTTTTACATATATCACATATAATACATACTTTGTTTTTTTCTGTTGTTAGTCTAAAATATTTCCAGTCTTTGTTTTTCATCTCATTTTCTTCATGATGATAACAATCTAAATGCGCTTTACGTATGTGCTTCTCAAATTCCTGATATTTTTTAAACTCCACGTATTTATAAATGTTTTTGCAAGATGGTTCTTGACACTGTACTCAAAAATTTGCCATTTTAATAAAACATTGCTCTACCCAGGGGTGATTTTTATGAATTCGGTATTCAAAACACATTGTGATCAGATCTGTATGATAGAACGTATTTAACTGAACACGATGCGAGCATTACTTCGTTGAAAAGTGTCTGATAGAGGAGATCGAGGAAAGAGACGTACAGTTTTTCTGTTTGTATGTAAATACTTACAGCTTTCAAACCTACGTAACAATTATCAAGACAAGCGGTAGGATCCGATGCGAAATATATATAGTAAACGATTTCGGGGGAGCAAGAGCGCTCTTGCGCGTGATAGAGTGAGAGATGGTGGGAGAGTGAGAGAGAGGGAGAGAGAGCGAGAACGATGATATGGTGCAGAGAGAAAGAGGGTCAGATAGAAGCAATACAGCGCGTTCGTTACGCAGATAAATAATGTTTTCAGAAATAATGTACAAGAAATTAATGAAGATTATGATTAATATGATTAATACTATGATCTATATTATTGATTACTTCGATAAAATATGAACATTTTTCTAATTTATTTAAATATAAAACATAATATTGCAATTGAGATACATTTTCATTGCAGAAATATAAGTACTTACATGCCCATTTTTTTATCTCATTTATATTTTAGATACGCCACCATTGTTATCGTCACTTCTTTCATTCTCCATCGCAATATACACCAAATTCTGGTTTGATTTTCATATTCTTACATTCAGTTGCTAATTATATCATGACTACAGTTTTCAACGTCGTAGATTTAAATACTTTAGTATTTATTATAAAATAAAACGAATAAATAATATTTCAAATTTGCTACAATTTACTATCTTTTTATTGTTTGTGGATATAAAACAGTTTTCCGTCTCAGTAACATAGAAAGTATTTAGTTAAATAAAAAGTAACAAATATAAATTTTTATAATGAAATGTATACCGCAAAAATTGGTCGAAAAGTTTAATTTGTTCCGAACACTGTTATGAAGCAAGAATAAATCGCTTTAATACTGCTTATTCAAATTTGATCAAAATTAAACGTTTCTTTTTTTCAATATTTGGGAGCGTAATGAATATTTGTATGACATAATTATATAAAACATGATTTTTCTACATATATATATATATATTTTTTTTTTATGTATATGTATTTAAATGTAACAATTTTTATCACATGCTGTACGTATCTGCGTGAATATATAATCAATCTCGAATTATATTTAAATAATTACAAGAATCTCTCAATATGTGTTATTTCCACGTACAAATCTATGTGCCAAAAGTTCATTTATCACGCAAACAGTAACATTAAATTCGCAAAAGATTTGAAAATTTTTAATTACGCGTGACATTAAAATAATAAAACGATACAATTTTTACTTGTAATACTTTAGATACAACATTAATTTCGTAGTTAAGAAATTTTTAAATAATAATAACATTAAAATGATAAAATGACAAAATCTGCTACGTGCTATAATTATTTTAGAGATGATTAAATTCGTAATCGAGATCTTTCTAAATAAGCTTAAAATGATAAAATAATACAATCTAGTGCATGTTTATAATACTTTGAGACAACATTAATCATAATGGAAGAATTTTTATATCAGCATAAGCACAACATTAATGTAATAAAAGAAATACAGTATCTTACACATAAAACTTCGGAATATTATTACATAATTTATTAGAGATTCAAATATAGACGGAACATTTGCACAAATAATATATTATAAACATAATTTGCTGAAATATTTGACATATGTTCGACGGTATTCATACTTTTCTCTTCTCTTCGTATTTAAAGCTTTTTATATGCTTTTTTTCTACTTGTTTACGAATATTAAAAAATTTAATGTAACAATATATTTATTTTCGCAAGACATACATTTGTTTAAATATTCGGTAATTTTGTCAAAGCCTTTAAGTGATGATTTTTAATAACATGGATAGTATGTTTGGTTTTTACGCATTTACCAATATATCTAAACTTTTACTTCTTACATGATTCTTTAAAATTATTTATAAAGTCATATAAAATGTAGACGTGCGAACGCTTCAAAAGGTATTTACACAAGCATTGTAAAAAGGAACTAAAGGAATATACATTTCGTACGTGGATTTGGAGAAATACATACTGTCTTCTTATGCACAAGAAAACAATACATCTCTGCCCAACTGCGACATATATAATCTTCCGGTTCATTCTAATGACAGTCGTTACAGATTTGTTAAGAGTTCTAACGTCTACTTTTTTCACGATAATACTTTACAAAATAGTAATATTGTTATGTTGAATTGCAAAATATATAATCATTAGTTTCTTTCTCCAAATACAGAGTGACGTAGACGTATCTGTTTTAAGCTGCAGAATGCGATTGGATAAAATTTACATAAATATTTCGAACAAGTATTAATTATGTGAGTTTTGTTATATATGTGCTGAGTACGTCACTCGAAGATTCGTCACTAGAGAAAAATTTTGTTGTATTGAAGAAATCGGGTTAGTTTTTATAAATGTAGTAACACAGTATTTGATTTTAAAGCATAATTTGAAGAATATTACATTATAAAGTAATATCTATAATTATGTATATAATGTTATAAATTTTAACAATTTTGTTGTTATAAATTTATAAATATATATGTATTTAAATTTACAAATCTTGTACATTTATAAACACAAAACCGATATGCGACAAATAAGTCATATTATACATTAATGTCTTCATGTAGTTCAAATCACTTAAGTCAAAGTCAAGACTGTCGTTATTGCTGGTCATGAGATGCTACTTAAAAATGTCGCTACCATCATTTCCATTGTCCAATGTAGATAAATCTATATAAACATTTGTGATATATAAAAAGCAAATATTAATTATTTGATTTTTGTTGTTTTTATCATATTTTGGTTGATTACACCATTGAAAGAATGAAATATAATGATAAATATAACTAAACAATAATAATTAATAAAATATGATTAAAACTTACGATCGTTTTTCTTTCAACTTGCGTAGCTTGTCGACGGTTTAGCTTCATCGTGTGCTGTTTCTTGTTCTATTTGTTCTATCGTTTGTTCTTTTTCTTGTCTTTTTTTCCATTCCTTTTGATGTACAGATGATACGTGGTTTTCTAAATTGTCACGTCACATTCAAAGTCTACTGGTGTTTCACATATCGTACATTTCGCAACATGTCCATTCTGTCTCGCGTATTTAAGTGCCCAATGATGAGCATAGTTTACTATTTCGCGTGGATTATGATCTATGTGAGGTAGTGTGACATTTTTTTGACATATCATGCATTCTGTATAAGTTTATTCAATACAGTGTTTAATGTGTACCTTACATATTTCCACTGTCCTATGTAGATATCATGTGGATTTTCATGTTCTTCAAGATGGTGAACTTCATAATGCACGTCGTTTACGTGGTTTTTAAATTGTGTTTCTTTGATATATACTACTTTGCGTTCGCAAAATTTACATTCTGCTCGAAAGTCACCAGCATCTGTATAATATTCTTGCAAGCAGCTTTTCTTTTCAGTTTGCGATTTTCAAAATATTTCTTCTTCGTTTATTCTTTTCATCTCGTCTTTATGTTTATCTGACATATGTTTTTTTAATTTTGATTTGTTAAGATAAACGGTTATACTTTTTTCACAAATTATACATATCATATTATCTTCTTCTTGTCTTACGTATTTACGTGACCAATGTTGAAATATATAGGATGGTGGACCTTCTTCAATATGATCTTTTGCGTGATTCTCCATTTGGTCATTTAGCACAGGTATTTTACATAAAATACATTCTATTGTTTCTTGTTTCGTAAACCTAAAATATAACCAGTTCTTGTCATGTGCTTTCTTTGTAGATTCTTCACTTTCCAAATAAGTTTATGTTTCTTCATGTGTAGGTTAAGCGATAGATAGGTGACATATTCAAAGCCACCTTTGCAAAATCGACATTCTGTTTGCAAATCCACAGGCTTCGTATAACATTTATTAAAAAAGTAATGCTTTTCAGTATGATATTTCAAAGACTGTTTATCTCGTGACTCTATTACTGAAGACTCTTTTCCATGTTTATTCGCTATGTGCTTTTTTAATAATTGTGTTCTTAAAGTTAATTTTATTCTTTTTGTTTCATTCGTACAAAGCTTACATTCAGCAGAAAAATCTGTAACTTGTTTGAAGTATTTCCAACTCCAATCTTCTTTCTTATGGTGTGCAAGCTGTTTTTCTAGTTCCGAATGTTTTTCTATGTGTTTCGATAAGTTTTGATTTTGTGAAAATTCAATTGGGGTATCACATATGTCACATATAATACATGCTTTGTTTTTTTCTGTTGTTAGTCTAAAATATTTCCAGGCTTTGTTTTTTATCTCATTCTGTTTATGATTATAACAATCTGAATGCGCTTCACGTATGTGCTTCTCAAATTCCTGATATTTTCTAAACTCCACGTATTTATAGATTTTTTTGCAACATGGTTTTCGACACTGTGCTCGAAAATTTTTCTCTTTTGTAAAACATGCCTTTATCGTGCGAGGAACTCGTTTTTCCCAACACATTGTGATCTGATGTGTATGATAGAACGTATTTAACTGACTACGATGCGAGGATTATTTCTTTGAAAAGTGCCTGATAGAGGAGATCGAGGAAAGAGACATATAGTTTTTCTGTTTGTATGTAAATACTGACAGCCTTCAAACTTACCTAACAGTTATCAAGACAAGCGGTAGGATCTGATGCGAAATATGTATAGCAAATGATTTCGGGAGAGCAAGAGCGCTTTCGCGCGCGATAGAGTGAGAGTGGGAGGAAGGGCGTGAGGGAAGGAGAGAGAGCGAGACGATGAAGAGCTGGAGAGATAAAGAGAGGCAAAGAGAAGCATTACAGTGCGTTCATTACGGAATCAAATAATGTTTTGAGAAATAATGTACAAGAAATTAATGAAGAGTATGGTTAATATAATTAATACTATGATATTATTGATTTATATTATTGATTACTTCGATAAAATATGAGCATTTTTCTTTATTTATATATAAAACTTAGTATTGCAATTGAGATATTTTCTCATTGCAGAAATATAAATACTTACATGCTTATTTCGTCATCTCATTTATATTTTAGTTGCACCACCATCGTTATCGTCATTTCTTTCATTCTCATAGCGCATTATACTCCAAATTATTGGTTTGATTTCCATATTCTAACATGCTGTTGCTCATTACTTCATGACTACAGTTTTCAACGTCTTAGATTTAAACACTTCAGTATTTACATTAAAATAGGCAAATATTTAATAAATTTGCTACAATTTACTGTGTTTTTATTGTTTAAGAGTAAAAGCCATTATTTCGTTTCAGTAAACTAACATAGAAAATATTCAGATAAATAAAAAAGTAGGTAACAAATATAAATATTTATAATAAAATACATTGATTACGAAAATCGGCCGCAAATTTCAATTAATTCCGATCATTGTTTTAAAGGAACAATAAATCGCTATAATTTTGCTTATTCAACTTGATAATTAAACGTATCTTTTTTTTCAATTTTAGGAAGCGTTATGAATATTTGTGTAACGTAATTAAATGAAACATGGGTTTATATATATATATATTTTGTATATATATTATAAATGTTATAATTATTATCACATACTTTATGTATTTGTGTAAATATACAATCAATCTCGAATTATGTTTAAATAATTACATGAATCTTCAAATATGTTATTCTCACATGCAAATTTATGTGACGAAAGCTTATTTATGACGTAAACAATAACATTAAATTCGTAAAAGATTCGAGAAATTTTGAAATAAACGAAATAACATTAAAATAATAAAATAATACAATTTTCTACTTATAATATCTTAGATACAACATTAATTTCAGTTGAGAAATTTTAAAATAATAATGACATTAAAATGATAAAATGATAAAATCTGCTACGTACTATAATTATTTTAGAGATGACATTAAATTCGTAATCGAAAACTTTTTAAATAACTTTAAAATGATGATGTAATACAATCTAGTATATGCCTATAATACTTTAAGACAATCATGATCGAGGAATTTTTATATCAGCATAAGCATAACATTAAAATAATAAAAGAAATGGTACAGTATTTTACACATAATGCTTCAGAATATTGTTACATTACTTATTAGAGATTCAAGTACAGACGGAACATTTGCATAGATATATTGTAAACGTAATTTGTTGAAATATTTAACGTATGTTCGGAGGTATTCGTACTTTTCTCTTTTTTTTGTATTTAATGTTTTTTATTTGCTTTCTTCTACATGTTCACGAATATTTAAAAAATTTAATGTACAATGTAATAATGACAGTATTTATTTTTACAAGACATACATTTATTCGAATATTCGGTTATTTTATACAAAATTGTCAGAGCCGCTCTTTAGTTATGATCTTTAAAACATGGACATTATGTTTGTTTCTTGCGCATATTTGAACTTTTACTTTTTACAGGATTATTCAAAATCATTTCATAAAGTCATATAAAATGTAGACGTGCAAACTTTTCTAAAGATATTAACACAAACATTGTAAAAAGGAGCTAAAAGAATATACATTTCGTACATGGATTTGAGAAATAGTGTCTTCTTGTGCCTAAGAAAACAATACATCTATGTCCAACTGCGACATATATAATCCTCCAGTTCTTTCTTAAGACAGTCGTTACAGATTTGTTAAGAGTTCTGACGTCTACTTTTTTCACGATAATACTGCAGAAAAAATTAATATTTTTATGTTGAATTGAAAAATACATAATCAGTAGTTTCTTTCTTTAAATATTAAGTGACGTAGAGACAGATCTGTTTTAAGCTGCAGAATGCCATTTCATAAAATTTACATAAATATTTCGAACAAGTACTAATTATCTGAATTTTGTTATATATATACTGTACGTCAATTGAAGATTCGTTATTAGAGAAAAATTTTGTTGTATTCACGAAATCGGTTTAGTTTTATAAATGTAGTTACACAGTATTTGATTTTAAAGCATAATATGAAGGATATCAAGTTTTAAAGTAATATCTATAATTGTGTATATAATTTAATAAATTTTAACAATTTTGTTGTTATAAATTTATAAATATATATGTATTTAAATTTTCAAATCTTGTACATTTATAAAACACAAAAACCGATATGCGACAAATAAGTCAAGTTATACTCCTAATGTCTTCATGTATTTCAAATACACTTAAGTCAAAGTCAAGACTGTCGTTATCGCTGGTCATGAGATGCTACTTGAAAATGTCGCTACCATCATTTCCATTGTCCAATGTAGATAAATCTGTATAAACATTTGTAATATATTAAAGCAAATATTAATTATTTAATTTTTGTTGTTTTTATCATATTTTGATTGAATACACCATTGAAAGAATAAAATATAATGATAAATATTACTAAACGATAATAATTAATAAAATATGATTAAAACTTACGATCGTTTTTCTTTCAACTTGCGTAGCTCGTCGACGGTGTAGCTTGGTCGTGTACTGTTCTTTGTACCAAATCTTTTTGACGTATTTTTTCCCGCTCATTTGGATGTACAGATGTTATGTGGTTTTCTAAATTTTCCGGGGCCCATTCAAAGTTTACTTCATTTTTACATAAAGTACAATTTGCAACTTTTACATTTTGTCTCGCGTATTTAAGTGCCCAATGAGAAACGAATTTCAGCTCACGTGGAAAATGATTTGTGTGAGGTAGTCCGTCTTTTTTTTCACATATGATGCATTCTAGATTTTTTTCATCTAATATAAAATCATTTATGTACCTTATATAATTCCACTGAGGTTCGTTGAAGATATCAGGTGTATTTTTTTCTTCTTCAAGCGAGTGAAGAGCACTATGCGTGTTCTTCATGTGTTCCAAAAATTGTGTATGTGTGATATATGGTATTTTGTGTTCGCAAAATTTACATTGTGCTCGAAAATATTCAAAATTTATATAACATTTTTCCAACCAGATCCATTGTACAGTCCTTATTATTGTACCCCATAATAGGTATTCTTCGGCTATTTTATTCATGTATTTTTTATGTTTATTTGCATGCTTTTTTAAATCAGTAATTCTTGCCCAAAATGTTACATTTTTATCACACAATGTACATGTCACATTATCTGCGTTTTGTCTTGCGTATTTAAAAGTCCAATTTTTATATTTACCTGGTTTTAGATCGCATATAAAATGATAATGTACATGATTTTCTGCTTCGTCATATGGTATCGTTTTATCACATTCCATACATTGTACTTTATCTGTTGAATTTGGTTCCGTAAACCTTAAATATTGCCAGGGGATGCTACCTGTCGTCATTTTAGTGACTTCAGCGTCGTGAATTACTTTATGTTCCTTGTTCATATGATTCTGAATGGGTTCACTCTTGACATATGCAAGTATTTCGTTGCAAAATTTACATTTCTGTTAGACAATCCACAGGCTTTCTATAACATTTAATCAACC